TGTGTGTGTGTGTGTGTGTGTGTGTGTGTGTGTGTGTGTGTGTGTTCATGTGTATGCATATCGTGTGTGTGTGTATGTGTGTCTGCCTGCAGCAATTGCTCAGATCTATGGGGTCTAGGCTCAGGCCACACGATAGAGCAGTGGGACTCCACAGGCATGTACGGATACCATGACCACAGCAGGTGAATATACTCACACACACACACACACACACAATGAGTCAACAATCATCTTACATCCTGTCATTCATTCATTCACTGTTCATCTGTCTTTCCGTAATCTGCACTGTCACTACACACTGGGGTGTGTGTGTGTGTGTGTGTGTGTGTGTGTGTGTGTGTGTGTGTGTGGCCTTTTCTGTTTATTGAGATCACCCAAAGACTTTGAGACTATCTGTCACGCGATTGCCGCTCATGATGCAACCTTATCATAACCTTCCCTTAAAATGCCATTTGTGTGATAATGCTTTTATACATGCAGGCAGTAAGGAAATTATTGAGCTTTTTATTTGAGTTGCAACAGACAAAATCTCCTCCATTAAGTCAATTATAGGCTCAATTTACAAATCAATGGCTCTTTCCAACTGTGCTGATTAGTCTCACTAAATACAGTGTAGCTTTAAGAACATAAGAAGCCTCCTGATCGCCACTGGTTTTGAGAGTTAGTGTGCTTTCTTCTGCTAAAGAAAGCACAAACGTATGATCGTCTCCTGCAAAGACTTGGTCTCATGACTTGAGCTTTTAGCCGTCTTCTCTCCCGAAACCTTCTCAGGTCCCTGGACGGGCGTCTTCAGGTGTCTCATCGCAAGGGCCTGCCCCACGTCATCTACTGCCGCCTGTGGAGATGGCCCGACCTCCACAGCCACCATGAGCTGAGGGCCATCGACTCCTGCCAGTTCGCCTTCAACCTCAAAAAGGATGAAGTGTGTGTCAATCCGTACCATTACCAGAGAGTGGAGACGCCTGGTAATGATCCTCCAGACTTGTGTGTGTTTCTCTGACATAATGGGAACATGTTTGTTTGTTTGCCTGTGTTTTGGTGTTTGCATTTGAAGCAAATGTTTTAATTATATTATAACAATTTTGATCTGTATAGCGATTCACGTTTGCCTCCGTCAGTGACACTTCCTTCTCTCGCCAGTGCTGCCTCCGGTGTTGGTGCCGCGCCACACGGAGATTCTCACCGAGCTTCCTCCTCTAGACGACTTTACGAACTCCATCCCCGAAAACACCAACTTCCCCGTCGGCATAGACCCTCCTAATAACTATATACCAGGTCTGTGTGCAGGGCAGGAAGCAAACGCCTTCATTGTTTTATTCACTTCTTACCTTAGCTGCCCTAATAGGTTTGTATTCAATAGAAATGTTGTTTCTGATGTACACGTCATCAACCTTTATGTTGACTTACAAGAACTTGCAGAGATCTCAGTCTTTCTGATTGTGTGCATCAGTTTAAAATGTGTTCTTATTGCTTCTTTGTGTGGTTCAGAGACTCCTCCTCCTGGCTACATCAGTGAAGATGGAGAAAACAGCGACCAACAGATGAATCAAAGTATGGAATCAGGTAGACTAGTTGAGTTTTGTGCTAGTGTCCAAGCTGCTGTTTATCTCAATGGTTGGAGGTAAAAAAAATATCACACTAATGGGGTCACGAGGTCAGTTTCGACAGCTGTGTTGCAGCCGTGAACATGAACACTACAAACGGTATACATACAAAAGGTACAAAATGTAGTTATGTAATGTGTAAATATGTAACTTTCTTTCTTTTTCTTCCAGTCTCACCTGCAGAAATGTCACCCGGCGCCTTGTCACCTGACCTCTTGTCACCTGTCAATCACGCTCTGGGTAAGACTGCTCTTTATCAGTTCCTCTTCAGTGTTAGCAGGTTGATGAAGCTCATGAAAGAGAAGTAATGTGATTTGTTTGATTTATTGTAGAGCCGATTTACATTATCATTTGTCATATTGAAAATGAACCAAAAACTCATAACTTTGTCCACCAATGAATTCTTGGAAAAGCTATTTAACTTGGGAAATAGAAAAAAGTAGTTGACGTGTAAAATGTTCCCTCCTTGATTTCCTTTTTCAGACCTTCAGCCGGTTACCTACAGCGAACCAGCTTTCTGGTGCTCGATAGCCTACTATGAGCTGAACCAGCGGGTGGGAGAGACGTTCCACGCCTCACAGCCGTCTCTGACGGTCGATGGCTTCACCGACCCCTCAAACTCTGAACGCTTCTGTCTCGGGCTTCTCAGCAATGTCAACAGGAACGCAACCGTTGAAATGACGAGGAGACATATAGGTAAACACGCGTATCTTTACAGAGACGGATACTTTTGGAAGGAAATACAGTAGTTAAAAGATGTAAAAATGATTTTAATTCTAGATATGCTGCCGAATAAACCTGTTGTTTTCTGTAGCGCAAAATTCCGGATTTCTTCTTCATGATTTATGTCTTCTTCGCATTCTTCCTGGCTCACACTCTGCAGGTCGCGGTGTACGGTTGTATTACATCGGAGGGGAGGTGTTTGCCGAGTGCCTCAGCGACAGCGCCATTTTTGTCCAGAGTCCCAACTGCAACCAGCGATACGGCTGGCACCCTGCCACAGTCTGCAAGATACCGCCAGGTCCATGTGCATTTCTAGTGTTTCTTCCTGTTCCTCTTTGAGCCAGGTGGATGCCACACAACTGGCAAAAAAAAGCCTCCTTTGATATATTTGCAGCGCTGATATTTATCGTCAAATAGTTGAAACTTTTATCTGTTAACTTGCGGAGGAACACGTATCGCTGTCTACTGTGGCTACGCTTCATAGTGGCAGTTGTCTGGATTCAGGAACATGACTTTTCTTCCACCTGATATATCGATAGAAGCGTGAGGAGGAGCACTAATGACCTCCACAATGTGACTCTCACCCACTCGCACCGACTCATCTTTGCCCGTGCAACTTTGAACATTTCGTTGCTGGCCAAATGAGCAGTGTGAACAGTATCATTACCGAGGCTCACAATTGTACCGAAGGGATCTTGAGGACATTCAGGGGCGGGACTGGTGGAGAATAATCACCAACATGCAGCACACCCACAGCTCACAGAGCATCTGCTCGCTGCTTTTTAAGTAAAATCCCCGAGTTTAGAAAACGAGCATTGTCTGATTGGTAGTAAACTTCTAACACATTCATAAAATTCAAACATATTCGGCTTCATCGGGGATATAACAAGAAGTATTTCCGCTGTTGTCCCCAGTGTTTTCTCACCCCTCCTGTGTTTCTTTATTTTCAGGGTGTAATCTGAAGATTTTTAACAACCAGGAGTTTGCTGCACTGCTGGCCCAGTCAGTCAATCAGGGATTTGAGGCCGTCTACCAACTAACCAGGATGTGCACCATCAGAATGAGCTTCGTCAAGGGCTGGGGAGCAGAGTACAGGTGTGTTCCGCTCTTAAGCACACTACACACTCTTTCTCTCTCACTATCGTCCTCTGTGAATGGAGGGTTGAAGGGGTCTAGTCGGACCACAGTGACAATTATTTGTGTGTCCTCATGGAAGAGGCCATGCTGGAAGCTTGTGTACATAAAGACTACTTTGAGGCTAAGCAGTGGCTACTGTTGGCTGTTGTTATACTTGCTGTTATAATTGCTGGTTTGACTGAAGCTTACCTTCTGGGTGCTGTGGCTCTTAGGTCTACCCATGTCTTTGTAAGGGTGTAACGTTGCTGTTATTTAAGTTAAGTTATGCATAGGCTGGGGGTCCTTAGCTTAGTGGACTGAACTTAACTGAAACTACAAATCCTGGAGCAGCATCTTTAAGGAAATAAAGCAGAAGTACTGATTGTGTGTCAGTTATTGCTAATCAGTTTTGAAAGACTCAACATTCGAATCCAGCCTAACCTGGATCTGTCTGTCCATAATAAGAGAGGGCGCGACAATGTTCATTATGTAAACAAGCGTTTAAGGTTGTGCGGGCTATCATCTGCACTGCATGTGAATAATCGTCTCTATTATATTCCGCCTTTTTGTTGTAAAATTACTAAGCATTTGTGTGTCTCTGTGGCCCTCCAACTATCTACCCAGCAAACATCTGCTCTGCTCCTGGCTCTGCCCTGTGCCGCCACTCTCCCAGGAGCCAGACAGCAGTGTTTTTTGGGGCGGGGGGGCCAGGGTTAAGCTGGCGTGTAGCCTGTCTGGTTAGCAGTCATGTCTCCGCTGTGTGTAGAGCTCAGGCCAAAGCCTGGCAGGACCACAGTGCAGTCGGCTGTGTTTGATCATCTGCTGAGACCTGGGCAGTGCAAGGTCCCATTCACTTTTTATTATTTGTTGTAAATCGCTTTGGGAAAAGTGCTCTACCACTACTCGCACATTTAACAATACTGCTGCTACTACTGTTTGTATTTATTTATTCACATCAGACTGTTAATGCTCCTTTAGCTTTGCCATAACACTGACTCGGCAAGATGTTTTTTAACCTTTTATGCTTCATTTGTTTTGTATCCCTTCAGACGTCAGACGGTAACCAGCACTCCCTGTTGGATTGAGCTGCACCTCAATGGCCCCCTCCAGTGGCTGGATAAGGTGCTGACCCAGATGGGTTCACCGTCGGTGCGCTGCTCCAGCATGTCCTAAACGGGTTTCTGCTGCCGCCGCAAAGCCGATCTGACATTTCACAACATCTGACCGGTATGTCCTGAGGGAAGACCACCGTGCGGTCTTGATCTGACGCACCAACAACATTATCATAAAGAGGGGAGAGAAAGGGGGGGGAAAAAGGATTACACAATGGACCTGGAGGATGGGAAGATGACATCGTCCCATGGACAATAGTGGAACGTGGACATCGATGTCACAGTGGGCCCGATCACCTCTTGGCTCTGTTGGATTAAAGTAACGATGACATTCCAGCAATTGCGGACCTAATAACCGAAACCACCCTGCAATATCAAACTGACGAGAGTGACGTCATCACGGACCAGATTCATGTTTTTTTTGGTATTTGACTGAGGCAAAGCAGGGCGGAGCTCAGTTACGCGACACCGGCTGTTTTTCGGGGATTGAGCGTGTGACCTTCTAGCCACCGCGCAGTCTCTCCAACCACTAGCCGCCCCCTCCTAACTGCTTCACTACCTATCTACCACAGCACAACTGTGATTCAGCGTCAAGCTCTCTGTCGACCAACAGCAGTACTGCCGCTCCAGGCTCATGTTTTTGACCAAAGTCAGCTCCACGCCGGGACGTTTTTTTTTTTTTCTTGGTTTTGGTCGACCAAAACTTCCATTCCATTTCTACCTGAGATTTTCACTTTCCCCTTGCATTTCTCCTAATCGGTCCTGTGACGGCGTGAACGGCAGACCTGACTACGCTGGACCGACGGTGTTCAGCTCTGGAAGGGAGGGGGGGGGGGACCACCGGGGAGGAGAGCATGTTGTCTATAATTAATATCACATACCCCGTCTTCATACACCGTAACACAAGACGGACCAAGTCATTTCCTCTGCATGCGCATTAAATCAGTTGGTCCCGTTCGAGCGTGAGTGTGCAGCGGTGTTGATGTTTTGAGTGAGGAAACAGCTGCTAGCCAGCACAGATAACTGGAATAAGTCATTCTCATAGCAAGAGTGTCGGACACGTCCCTCCTCTGGAACTTCGTACAATCATTGAACTTGTTTTCCGACTGTAATAAAGGCGCACAAAGTTAGCCACGGTTAACTGGTTTTTGAGGCCCAAAACTTTGCTCTGAATCTTGCCCCCCCCCCCTGCACGCTCTTACACTCTCTCTCTTACATTCTCTTCATTAACTTTTTACTATTATATCATCTTGCTTATGAAGGAGAGGTGTATGTCGAGGACTTGGCATAAATGCAGTTCAACGAATCTCAATGTCGCCCCCTGCTGTCTAAAAGAAGGCGATATGAACTCCCATCACTTGAGGTTTCACTGGTGTAGACGTGGCGCGAGTCTCTCTTGATTATATGCTTGGAATGATGCATGGTTTCCCCCCAATATTGGCATTTTATTGATAGGAAAACGAGTCCTGCAGGGACTTAAAATGGCTTCTGCGCTGTACTTGCACTGCCCCCAAATTATGCACACTTATTGCTCCGAGAAAGTTGCCTTTGATGTAAAGATACAGCGAGATATGCTTCAAAATGTACAGAGAGGAATGTTGGAAAAAGCCCAATTGAAATCGAGACAACTACAAAAAGATATCTTCCGTATTTTTTAAAGAATGTTCACTATAAAGAGTTTTTCCTTCCGTATATTGTCTGAATTGGCTTATTAAAGAGCATTCATTTGATTTTTAATAAAATGTCTTGCCCCGATCTAAAAAGCCAGCTGGTACCTACGCCGGTATTTAAGCGTCCAAATCGTTAGTATTTAAGCTTTAAGTATTTGACAAGCTAGTATTTTCTTTACACATTGTTTAAGCTACATTTTTGTATTTTCATGTATTTTTTATATATGGATATATTTAAGATCTTCAAACCTTTCTTCCTTTTTATTAGAATTCAATATTTTTTTAGAATATGCCCCTCCGTTCGAAACGACCACAGCTTGATGATTTATGAAGTATGTACCATAAGATTGAACACTTTCCCAATGTCCAGAATGTTGAGACTGAGAGACCAAGTGATCATAAATACCATGCTCCATACCATACTAAAACAGTAAAAGTGGCCGGTGAACTTGAGCTATTATAGCTGGTGAAAAGGGTGTTTTTTTTTTTTTTTTTATGGGTGTGACCCAAATGATGATAGTGCTGTCCCAAAGACTGAATGCATGTAGTTACAGTGTGTCCTTTACACTGCACATCCACTGCGTCATAAACCTAAGCGCTGATGGAAACATCCAGTTTTCCAGCGTAAAATGTAATTGGCTCGACCGATTGTTGGATAACAAATCAAGATACCTGTTAAAAAACATACAAACTAAATTATAACTCAGACTTTTTCGAGGTATTGGGATTTAATCCAGCAGCTGGGCTGCAGTTATATTTTCTGTTATCAAAGCAGAGTTCTGTCTCACTTTAGCGACACGGGACGTCCCAACATGCAGTGTAAACTCTGCATACGTTTCATTCTCATGACTCCTGATGTACGACAGTACACGTTTAATTACAGCGAGCGTGTTTATGTGCACACATGATATTAGACAGTGGTCTTGACTTGGTGCTCAGTAGTAATGCATGTAAACACATTGACATTTTCTCCAAAATGACACTTCACCGAAGGTTTAGTTCATCATCCGTTGGCTGAGATGAGGAGTCCAGAAACCCTGGTGTTTATTCAAACGTATCGTCCGCATCCTGCAGAGACGTAACGATTCAAGATCTGTGTTTGATACACACTTGATGGATGACCACAGAAAATCATGAAGTATACTGCTTTTTAGGAAAACCCTTTTCTTCATTCATCGAGCATCTGTCAAATTTGTGTCACCTGTAAGCAGACTTGAGACGAGCCCAACCAGTGTTTGTCTCTCTGTATGTGTATCTGTCCGTCTGTCCTGTCTTTTTGCTGGTCTGTCTTTTTGTCTTTTTTCGTTTATTAGGGAAACAGTTGACTCTGCCAAGGTTGGTGCACATGCAATGAAAATACAGTGTTACCTTTTTAAGGTTGTTGCATCACTGCTGACCCACATATTTGTTCTATGCAGTGGCATCAAATAGTTTGGACGATGTATTCAAACCTGTTTTCTGATGGTTGGATACGCTGTTTTATGAATATTGCCAGGGTCCAACAAAAGCCTTTGTATCAACTGTTTTTTTTGTTAGTTTAAACGAGTGCCACCAACATTGCACATTGGACAATTCTGTTTTGGAGACGGACGATGAGACCAAATTGGGTTTCATGTAGGCCACATCTACATATTTTGAGGGTCCACATTTACAGATTCCATGTTTTCTTTTTTTCTTATTGTGACAATTGTGTATCCCCAAACAAGCCTCTTTCTGATGAATTCTTAAGAAGGTTGCTTGTTGGAGAAAAGTGAAGTTTCTACATGTCACTGGTGATGCTATTGTATAGATGTACTTTTTATTTTACCGTACATGCTGTTCCTTTTTTCTTGCTATCAACGGAGCGTATTCCATTAGACAACGGGCTGTTAGGATTTCGGTCTTCTTCAAACATTGAGGACGATCTTCATATAGGCTTTTCAACTAGTCTACATATACACACAACTTCTTACAGTGTACACTAATAAAGCTGTTTTAATTCAACTGAAAGTTGTCTTGTGGTGAGAGTCTGAAGTGGTGGGATTAATAACTCCAAACAGAGCTCATGGGCTAATTAGGCAGTTTTTATATAATAATAATAAATCAGCATAAATAAACTTAAATAAGAAATGATTTACTATATAGTATTAAATGTTATGTATTAATTAGATCCTAATACAATTGTTGTGGATAAAAAAATATATATTCTTGTTTAAAGAGTTCACTGTTCTGTTAAAGTTTTAATAGCTTTTTTTAGTTTTTATAGGTTCAATTTTTTTTAATTCGCATAAAAATCGAGTAAAACGGGGGTAACTTATTTTGCATTTATGTATGTAAAATTGACCATATAATCAATATGTTTACAATAAATTCAGTATTATATTTATCATCTTTAAAATGTATGATATTTTTGTACTCTATTTTGATATCGTGAAAGGTTTAACACAATATATAATCTTTAATTTGAGTCCTGAAAGTAACTGAATCTATACAATGGTAAAATATATGGGTTCGAGATTCTGATTCATTATTGCAAAAAATACATTTGTTTTAAATATCTAAGGATTGGGAGGAATATAGATTTGTTTGATATCTATTGTGTACAATTTTGCACACAATATATGGGCTATGATAATGGCCATAACCTCTGCCAATCCCAAAACATTGTTGTCCCCAAAAGCTTTTCCACGAGGAGTAATGTTCGTTATTTGGGTATAGGCTATGTGTTTTATTGTTGCATAATGTCAATAACATGTAGGCCAAATCCTGATTCAAACACGTGTTTGTCTTTGGTTTACTTTTCTTATACATATACTAATGGCGTGCAGGTAGGGGGCGTGGCTTATCAATTAATTGGGTCAGCAGGAACCAGGTGCACTAAGAAGAAGGTGAAGGCACCTCGCGGGAGTTTTGAACTGGCATTTGGATGAAGCGAGCAGCAAACCTTCGCTAGAACAGTCTAAGAATACAGTGAAGAACTGCCTGTTCAAGTTAATACCTCATCGTTTCGTTGCATTCGCCTTCGTCCTGTAAAAACCTGAAGGAGCACACCGTTTAAATTGATATATATATATATATATATATAATGAATGAATG